AAGTAACGAATATATATTTCCAATATCCAAATAAATGTTGGATGTAAAAATTTTATATCCATTACGATTCAAGTCAAGTACACGTATGGATGAATCTCTGAACCATACGTATTACCTACCCAGCTCTGCAGCTAAACCCAAGCCGATAACTCAAACCAACCCAACCGAATTAAAAACTGATCACAGCCTTCTGAGTTCTGACCCGTGACAGCCCAAGTACTTTTGGGCTGTTTAGGGTAAATATTTAAGATAAACTACATAGTGAAGTACAAACTCAAATATTAAATTATTATTACTATCAAAATAACAGTACAGCGACCAAATGATACACATAACATACAACACGCCTAAACATGTCTTAGTGGAAAAAGAAAAACACATACACTTGAAAGTAATTTAAACATCAGCGGGCTGGACTGTGTCATCGATACCATGATCAAACATACTCTTACGACGAGTCACTGAAATTATTGTAGCACACACTGAAAGAAGTTTGTTGCCCTAATTTTTATTTTAGTAAGAATTGTAGTGAAGTAATTAGAATTGGATCCTGCGTTGCTGGTAATAGGCAGTAGTGGTCTGTTGAAGTCTCGAATCAAGGTGAGAATACGGTGTAAAGCAAAGAGGAGCCATACAAGTGACCAGAACAAGGCAATATATGGTTTGTTAATTGAAATAAGGGAAATTACAGCCAACGAACCTGTCAGGAAGGCAATTGTCTGTAAGATTTTACTCCAGTAGTGGTGTGTGCCTAAGTTGAAATTATCTTCTCCTCCCCGAAGACTAACCCTGACAATTAGTGTTATAGCACACAGCATCATCATCACACAATATATGCACAACATGATAGAATTCCAGAGTGGACTGAGGACAGGATATTGCATAAGAGGAGTGAAGGCTGTTATTAGCAGACTCAATATGATTGTTATTTCGGTAGAAAAGGAGTCACCCAACCTGCGAACCAAAACCAGAAGGGAAAGTATATTAAAATAAATAAACAGATAAGAATACAATTGATGAGAAGATAAAGATAAAGAGAATAAGTGAACAACCTTGGAATGTGGCCTCTGAGGGAAGACATTGAAAACAGTAATCTAAGCACAAACCCAGAACAAAAGATGAAAAAATTGATTCTACCCTTCTCAAGTGTGCATGTGTGTTATATATAATGAGAAGTCAAGGTTCACACATATGCATAAGAAGTCTTGCAGTCCAACCCATCGCCTATTTTGTAGTTGTGCACCTTCCTCGTAGGTTCTCGTTGATCCAACAATATTATATATATATATATATATATATATATATGCGTATGAGACTATGAGGTCTTCCAGTCCAACTTTAAAACATGAGGTGTGCACCTTCCTAGGAGCCTTCCTGTTTGCTCCAACTATATATATATATTATATATATAAAGGTTAAATATGCAACTAAGGTCTCATATGACGTTGTATATGACGTTATCTTGGAATATATATATATATATATGCTTTCTTTTTCTTTTTGAAAATAGGCAATGATTATATATATATGTATGCTGTGCGTATATGAAGTCGGATTGAGAAAAATCCAAGCCAACTTCATATATATAAATAAAATTGGATTGACAAAAGCCAAAGCCAACTTCATATATGCACAGCACATATATAAAGTTAGACTTCTTATTCATTTTAATTATAATTTTATTAATTTATAATTTTTTTATATAATTGATTATGATATTTTGAAATATTTATTTATAAATTAATTTGAATATGTTAAATAATAAATATTAATTATTTAACTAATTATTTATTAACTATTTTTAACAACCAAATTAAAACAAAAATTTAACTTTTTTGATGGACATAACAAATTTAATGATCCCATAACCATAACCCAAACCACATCCATCCTCCACATGACGTGTACAAGAATGTTCAGATTCCGCCGCCCAAAAGGCCTTTAAAACCAGTAATAATCAGAAGGTTTAAATAGTTCCTTAACTTTTTACTTTTGGTATAAAATTATCTTTTAATTTTAAAAAATATTAAAATTATCTTAAAATTTTTATTTTCAACACCAAAATCATCTTTTTTTTCGATTAAATAAATAAGTGACAGGTTAACTTGCCAATATATTTTTTTTCTTAATTAATGATATAAAAAAAATTATAATTGACCATCCTTTTTTTTCGAGTTGACATTTTTATTTACTTTAAAATAATGACATACTTGATTTTCATCCATGTCAGCAAAAAAAAATCTCTTTCTTCCTCTTTCACTTTCTCTCTCCTTTACCTGTCCTTTTCCATTACCTCTGCAAATCCAGCCTCTCGGTTTTCTCAAACAACGGAGAAGCAAGTGATGATTGTCACCGTCGACGATAGCGAGCACAGCGCCTACACACTGGAGTGGATGCTCGATCACTTCTTCGTTCCTCTAGGTGATAGTGCCTTGTTCAAGCTTGTCATCGTTCATGCCAAACCTTCTGCTACTTTTGCCGTCGGCCTCGTCGAACTTGATAGCTACACATGTGGTTCTTAGTACTTTTACTTGTTGATTCTCTCTAATTTTTTCTCCTTTTTGCTTAATTTTGTTTGGTTTTTATCGTAGAAGCTGCGGAGATTTTTTCATTATGGGTGTTCTCAAACCCAGATCTGGGTTTTCTTAGGCTTGTTGAATCAGCCTCGTTACTTCTTATTTTATTTGTTGATTTTCTAGTTATAATCTAACAAATCCATCAATTTTCTCTAATCCCAAATCTCTCTCTTTCTGGCTACTTTCTCTCTCTTTCCAGATCTGTAAATAACAAAAAAAAATCGAAACAGGGCAAGAGAAACTGGAAATTGACTGTGATAATAGCAACAAAATCAACTCCCATAACTCGCAGGAAAATCATCGATGAACAATCTCCCATCTTTTCGTTCAAATCTTGCTTTCTCCTTTTTTTTGTTCTTTTTTGTTCCGCAGAATCATCCGGTGGAGGAGGAGAAATGGCGATGGCAGGGCGCATCAAATCGAGTCTTCCTCTCTTGAACAAGCTATTGAGATTCGATTCCACCTCTGATCATGGATCCTCTCTTGAACAATTGGTTTCCAATTTCCCTTGCCCTATTTTAAGAACCAGATCTAGGTTGGTTTGAGAACCTAGATCTGGGTTTGAGAAAACCTAGATCAATTGGGAACCTAACAAATTGCTAAGGAAGGAAGAGAGGAAAAAGAAGGGTGAAGAAAGAGAGAAAGAATAAGAAGAAGAAAGAAGAAGAATCAGTAGGGAAAGGAAGAAGGAAGGTTGGTAGATAGATGAGGCAAATCGTCGAAGGATTGAGAGAGGAAAGAAGGAAGAAGATGAAGTTTTTTCCTTCTTTGTTTCTTTTAGGTTGAAAAATTGTGAAATAATAGTAAAAATGTCAAATTATAAATAAAAAATGCTTTAGTTTACACGTCATTTTGAAAAATATATAAAGATTGATATTCTGACAATTTAATGTGTCACTTGTCCGTTTAATCGACGAAGGATTATTTTGATACTATTTTGATACTGAAAATAAAAATTTAAGAATAATTTTAATATTTTTTAAAGTTGAGAGACAATGGCAAGTGAAAAGTTGAGTATCAAAATGATATTTAAACCTAATTAGAATTAATTTAGTTAAATACCCAACTTGATCTCTCAACTTTTATTCTTAAACTTAATTCGTCCTTTAACTTAAAAAAAAGACTCAAATCGTCCTGAAAGTTTATTTTCCCATAACCAAATTGGTCCTTCTGTGGCGGAAGTGCCCACCTGGCCACAATTTAGTTCTTTTAATTTTTAAATCCTCCCCAAAATATTTATCAACTAAACCGTTTGCCATATTTCTCAAGTCTTCATTTTCATGAAGCTAGCATCTTTCCATGGCATCAATTAAGGTGTTCATATAAAAAAAAAAATTTTAATTGATCCAATCTAAATTGATTCAATTCAATAAAAAAAAAATTAAACTGCTATAAAATTAGATTAGTTTAAATTATAAAAGTTTAAAATTGATATAATTGATTTAATTTGTGATTTTACCTTTAAACTACTCGAAAGACCCGATTACAAAATAAAACTCAATTATAAGATAATTAAATAATATCATATATTTTTTATAGTATTTTAATTTTTTTTTATTTTACAAGATAATAATTCTATTAACTTAATCAAAAAATAAAAACAAAACATCTCTATAGTCCTTAATTTATTTTCCTTTTTAATTGTGCACTCTAATTCTAATTTCAAATTTTTAATTCACCTACAACTTTATCCCTTAAAACTAATTTGCAACTCTACTCTTAGAATACTAAATTTCTAATTTGTTCCTAAAATGATATTTTGTTTCTTCTAAGTTTTAAGGAAATATAATTTTAGAAATCTTAAAACCAGATAATAGAACTACTCTTAATATTCTACTATCCTTAAATATTTGATTGAGGAGTTTTAAATCTTATTTATGAATATTTCTAATTAATCTTAATGATATTTATATTAAATTTTATTCACTTTTAACATGATTTGAAAGATAAAATTGAATCATTGGTGCATTAAAGAAAAAAAAACTAACTTTAACCTTTATAAATTTTTTGCACCATGCTTTAAACCTAAAGTCATCTTCTATTGCTTTTTCGGTACCCCTAGTGATACAACTTAAAAGAATTTTCAGATCTTTTCAATTTTAACAATTATAAAGAAATAAAAATTTATTTATAATTTATGCTTTTTATTATATTTTTATTTATTTGGATGTTAATATATTTTATAATTATATTTTCTACTTAAATGTAAAATTTTTTTACATTATCTCATATATTTAATATGTTAAAAACCAATAAATATGACCAAACCACAACTAATTCAATTTAAATTGAATTTATTTTATTATTATATAATAATATATTAGATTAATTTAAAATTTTTTTCTAACTGATTAAATATTAAAATCTAAATCAAACCATATCACGCAAACCCCTAGCATCAATCCCATCTTTTCGTTCAACAAGCTTTGTACCCTCTCAGTTTGGCATGCGAGGAATTAACCATGTGTTAGGAACAAAATTTTGCCATGATGAACATAACATCAACAATAAACTTGTCCATATAGGGAAGGAAATCCGAGGTATACGAGAGCAGCAGATAGTTGACTTTTACACTGTGAAATGCGTTGGATCATTTCATTGTAAAAAGCAAAACAACAACCAGTAAACTAGAATGGAATCAATTTAGACTGCTAATCCGCTTCCGCTATAATAAGTGCTTAATTGACGCAAAAATTGACAGATAAGCTAATTATTAGATTTACTTCAGCTCCATAAATTGAAGTCCTAGTCTTGCAGCCTCAGTATCCGCAGATCTAACCAAATCAATGAAACCAGAGAGACACCCTTTCTGAACAAGGGAAACCAAGTGCTCGACAATCAGATTTGGCTTTCCATCACCCTCTGTTGGGGCAACACAGATGTTTCCCAACACATAGGCCACTTCCTCTCTTATATCAAAAGGTGCCAAAGAAAGAACGTGTAACAATAAGGGCAGTGCTTCAGTATAATATATCAGCTGCTTATGCTCAATGGAACCAGCAGCAATGTTTGATAGTACCCATGCTGCTTCCTACAATAACAGCAAAGTTTTGAATGAGAATTGCTGATAATGATTAATGCCAAAACAATGAATATAAACCTGCTCACCTTCTTCAAGATCCTGTGTTCACTCTTCAAACATTTTCCTAGAACTTTTATCACATTATCTTAAATGTTTGAAAATGTTAATAATTAAAATGTAATGAAGACATTAATTCAGCAGCTTAGAAAGTGCAGCATTTAGTTGCCTGTGATTTCACATCCAGGAATGAGAATTGTAGAAGTTGTGTGTGAATCACCAGCTCCAAGATTACCTAAACTTCTGAGCACCTAGAGGGACTAATATTTGTCGAGTGGATTGTAGAGAGCAGGAATTGCTCATTATAAAGATGCATGTGTAATTGAATGCAAAATTAACACCTATCATAAAAACTCAAAAACATATGAAGATGAAAAGTATTTAAACTAAAAGTAGATAATGGAAATAGTAATCAGCAACTATAAACTAGCAAAAGAAAATGGTGGACTGATCATATATTGGCCTCTGATGTCACAGTATTGTCAAGTGAGAGAGAAAAAAAAAAAGGAGTCATTTGCATTTTACCGGAATGAGAAGTTGCAAACTATTTGATGTTGCCAACCTTTCCACAAGAACTGGAAGGACACCACTCTTCATGAGCATACTAGAGGCAAAATTGGTAAGGGCTGAGAGATACACAACCACCCATGCTACTTCAGTTGCCAGCTCCTCGTCCCTGAAATTTAGTTTAACATAAATTTGCATATCTAGTTTCCCCAGAAAATATTTCCTAGAAAAAAAAATTATGTTAAAGCAATGGCCAAAAAAATCACAATTGACAAAGGCAAACCACTTGGCAGAAAGAATAATCCCAATCTGAAAAACCTAACTTCTAGATCAATAATCATCTTCCACATGACTAAAGAATATGCTTTCTTAGCCATGCATTTTAATGTCAAGTCCTACTTTCATTGACTCATGCACCTAGAAATGGATCAGTCAGATGCAGTGACATGGGTTTGGATGAAAGAGCAGAATCAATGATAGAAACCTTTCCAAACAATATCCTTCCTCCACATGGCATGCATAAGAATATTCAGAATTCACAGTCCAAAAGGCCTTTAAAATCAGTAATACCCAGAATTCATTTTAGCTAGTTTCAAATCTTCACTTACAATTTTCGTAAGTGCTGGAGAATTGAATCTAGTGCTCCCTCAACTCTGATGAGTTCTGTCGCAGCTTTAGGATCTGGTCCCTACATTCAAGCTCACTGAGGTATGTTGAAAAGGAAAACTTGAAATTATATGCTCACACATACAAAGAACTACAACTACATAAATTGTACTTTAACAAAGTTCATTAATATCATATAACAGAGTGAAATCCATTGATTAGAAAAGGTTCCAAAACCTTGATAAGGTTTGACAATGCCCAAGCAGTTGTTCTCACAGTGGAACCTTTGTTTGGCAGCATCATTCTTGCAAGAGGTGGTAAGGCCCCTTGAGATAGCAAAACATTCCTCAACTCCTCTCCTTCACCAGCTACATTTCCCAATGCCCACGCACACTGTTCAGCAACAGGGAAGGAACTTTTTTCTACAAATAAGGTAATTTTGACATACTTTTAGCTCATTAATATTTTTCTAGTTGAAAGATTAGGCATTTTTGTTCAATTAATAGAGGCAGAATATTAAAAATATCATGGAGGTTATATATAACAGGGTTTGCAAAAAAACATTAAGTTTAGGAAGGGATCAATATCAAATTTTAAGATGTTAAAACTAAAAAATGATATTTCACAAGAGCCCAGCTTCATTTCTGGAAAATACTGTCTGAGAGAGGGTGCAATATTCTGTTTTTGAATAGACAAGAAAAAAGCAGAGAAGATTTCCTTCCATAATATGAGAAAGAATAGATCAGTCATCTCTGACCTCCAAGGTGAGCAATAAGCAAAGGTAATGCAGGCAACAGAGCTTTTGTTTCTTCTGGTTTTCCAACTGCAACATTTGTAAGACACCAGGCTGCCTCAAGAAACTGTGGTATGACAGATAAAACAAAGACATCAAAATATATTTGTTTAAATTCCTAGAATTATCACTTCATTTAAAACTCTAAATGGTCTGAAGAACACAAATCTACTAGATACATGATCAATGTAAGTGAATTTTACAAGGATTAGATAAACAAGTGCCATAAACTAGAATTTAGGATTATGCCTATAGAGGGAAGAGAAACATTCCTAATGGTAAAGCAATGAAGTCCAAAATAACTTCAATTCTTCAAACTTGTTCATCTGGAGAGCCAAATGAAGGACACTGAACAAGTAAGGGTATAGCTCCCGCTTTAAGAGCAGCTTCAACAGGACAGAACTCAGATCTGGACAATAAATGCTGCAGTTGATGAAGTGCTTTCACCCTCTTCTGCATTGCCATTCCACGCTTTCCCCTAATTGTTTAATGAGTACACAGTAAGCCAAGTATGACTAAACATTAGGTAAAAATCATTATGCCCTTGGGCCCTAGCAATCATACAACCAGCTAGAAGAAAACAGCTCTTAAGACTCGAGCATACCCAAATAGCTTAAACCTAGGCATGCATACTCAGAAGGAACATCAAAAAGTTCATAAACTTCAGTTCAATTGATTAACACTATCGAAAACCACGATTCAAAGGCGAAACAGAAATAGGTAGAAGAACAACCTCAATTTGTCTGTAAAGTTACTTCTTTTCTTTAGAAAGCTTATCTTCATCTTTTTCATTAATTTTCTTCTTTCACCACACCGAATCCCTCCACTGATTCTATTTTCCCAGAAACTTAAACAAAATTTGCTTACATGCTTTCATCTTCTGCCCAAAAAATGAGATAAAATGAAAACAAAAAATGAAAAATTACCTGAAGCAACTTACTTTCGCTTTCTCTTCTTGATGGAAACTGCTGGTTCCTCTGGTTCGAGGCTTCCATTGTCGAACAACGGCAAGTCCTCCACTTTACTATCGGTTTCTTTCTTGTCCTACATGAAAATACAAGCAACAGAATGAATTCATACGATGATAGATATTGAAATATGAAATAAATAGATAACGGGGAAAAAGCATTAGAAATCCGGAGCTTTAGCGAAGCCAAACAGAGAAAAATGGAAACTTGAACCAACCAAAAACGCCGGCGAACTTCTTCCTATCGAAGTTGGTGCCGCCGAATAGAAAGGAGCCCCAGTTTTCCATTGGCGAACATGAGGAACTCTTCCGAATTGGAAGCTAAGTCTCGCCGGCGACGGAGTTAGGGTTTAGACTAGTTCTTTCTCAGTCCTCCCGTAGAGGTTAGACGCTAGAGCAATGTGGCTAAAGTGCTAAACCCAATTCGATCATCTAACCGAACCGACCCGATTTGAAAAAGGGATCACAGCATTCTGATCCGTGACCGCTGCGGCCATATTCCATCCTTTCAATTAACTACTGTATTTTTTCTGATGCTTAATTATTTGTTAATTGAAAAAAAAAAAAAAAGAACGTAAGATTCACAGTTGCAGTTGTCTTAGTCAACTTTTTCTCCTGGGAGTTTGGCTGCTTTCAAAGAAACCTTCGTCGTTTTTAGTCGACAGAATTTCAGAAAAACATTTCTTTTGTTATCCAATATTGAGGAGTGGTATTGGAGGGTCTTAACATGTCTTCTAATTGTGAACTTTCATTCTTTACCAAGAAAACTTTCATTGGTATTCCTACATCCAACTACTGAAATTACGTACGGAGTACACTTCTAGTCCGCTGAATAAGTTCATTGCCCAAAATTTCATTTTACCATTTTTTTTCCTTTTTGAGAACAGCAATAAATTTCATTTATTAGGGAGCATAATGGATTCTCGAATCCGATGTACATGATACTGACACGTATAGAGAGAACACTGAGAGAAATTGTACAAAAGGAAAAAAAAAAAAAGCGAAAGCCTATTTACACCCTTTATTTAATTTTTTTTTTGTGGTTATCACTTGTCAAAATTTTTCCTTCCTATTCATCTCCTCAACTTTTCAAAACTTGTAAAAAATTTAATATTTTAACTCACTATCACATCACTATTAATAACCATTAAAAATTATAATACGTGGCATCAAACAGTAATATTAATATTATGTCATTTTATTTATTCAATATGAACTTTTTTTTTATGATATGACATAATTAAACCATAATTAATTTTAATTTCTTCGTTTTCTTCTTTCCTTCTTTCCTGCATCATCTTTACCATCTTCCTCTTCATCCTCCTGAGTTCCTCAAGAAACCAAGAACCCAGGACTTTATGTCACATTTATTAATCCAATGTTAAACTTTTTTTATATAATGTATTATAATTAAATCATAATTAATTTTAATTTTTTCATTTTCTTCTTTCTCAGCATCATCTTCACCATCCTCGTCCTCATCCTCTTAGGTTCCTCGCGAAACACAAGTTTTGAGTTTTTCGTGGAACCTAATTTCACATGAATACCTACCAAACTAAGATTTTCATCAACACAATTATAAGTAAATGAATACTACACAAAAACACGATAAGCATCTTCAACTTATTTCCCACAAAAAACGAAAAAAACTCAAATTGACAACATGTTCATAAACAATTTCCAAGTAAAAAAAACTCACCTTTCCAACAAAAAACTTATTTCAAATTGCTTTGCATAAAATAGGAAACTAAGATAAATACATTCAAAATAAAAAAATGAAAAAAAAAATGGTCGGAACCCAGAAACTGGGTTCCTCGCCCAAAACCCAGATTTGGGTTCCACGCAGGAGACTAAAAACTGGGTTCCCCGCGAGGAACCTAGAATCTGGATTCCTCGCGAGGAACCCATTGAGGTGGAGGATGGTGAAGATGATGCCGAGGATAAGGGGGGAAAGAAAAAAATGAAGAAATGCCATTTATGTTACTGTTTAGTAATATTATAATTTTTTGTTGCTCTTACTGTACACATGGCATTCACATGTGCAGAAAATAAATTACATCATAAAAAAAAAGAATCCACATTGGATTACTAACATTACATAGTGCCACGTCAATTTTTGGTGCCACGTAATATATTTTTTAACGGTGCCGTGACGATAGGTTAAAATATTGGGTTTTTTATGGGTTTTGAAAAGTTGAGGGTTTGAATAAAGAGGAAAATTTTTGGAAGGTATTGACCAATAAAAAAAATTAAATGGAGGGTACAAATAGGGGCATTGGCAAAAAAAAAAAAAAGTGAGGGATATTTGTGAAAATTTGAAAAAGAGCACAAAATCCTTATGTATCTCCCTGTTCACACTTATTCTTTCCTAATTTAAGCACTAGCAAAAAAAAAAAAAAAACCAACAGTTCTCTTAACCATTTTACCAATAATTTGAGGCTAACAATAACAACTAGCATTATCGCGCACGACATCATCATTGTACAATATATGGATAACATGACTGAATGTCAAATCGGAGGGAGTACAGGAAATTGTATAAGAGGAGTGAATGCTGATATTAATAAGCCTAGTATAGTTGTTTTTTTTTTTTTAAGTCACCCAACCTGCAAAGCAAAGCCACAAGGGAAAGTTTATTGGAGAAAATAATAATAAACAAACAAGAATATGACGAGGAGATAAAGATAAAAAAGAACAAAGGAACTAGGGCTGGGCATTTTTCAACCGAACCGATTGTTTACTCGAAAACCAAATCGAAAAAATGAATTTGGTTCGATTTCAATGGTTTTTGGTTTTATTTTTTTGGTTTCGGTATTAACCGAATATATTTTGGTTTGGTTTCAGTTGAATCTCTTAAAAATCGAAAACCAAAAATAAAACCGAAATTA